CCTAAGTGTTTGATATTCAAATTTCGCTTTCTGGGTCAAAACTACTCGAATTTCCTCACTCACGTTGTTACGACTGAATCGACTTTTCAATTCTCCATTTAGTTATCTCTGGAATGATGTAAAAACGAGCGTTCGTGCTCATTTTGCTTCCGAGAAACATGCAAGACGCGACGGAAAGCATGAAATTTTGCAATAATCTTGCGCCACCCTTGCACAAAACGACGATCATTTTTCTAATTTCATTGATAACAGAAGACTGTATTTTTCTACATAGCCCCCCCTGACTTTAAAGCTGGATCCGCCCCTGAAAGAACTGTTCAAGCTTACAATGTGAGTAAAACTGCCATCAAATCACATACTTGGCTACTAAGGTAGATGCAAATCAAGAAGATTCACTAAAGGCAAGTTGAAACGTTGGAACATTGGAAGCGTGTGGGGAATACCTGTATTCTATAGAATAGACTATGTACTTACGCCACGACGTTCAAAGCCGCCAAGTTCAAAATACTGTACCCGATTATTGCAGAAACGAGCTTTGATCGCCTGTCTCCTTTTGCGTCTGTAGATACTCAAGTTGACGCACTCCACTGGATAAATGGCAATCAGTTCGAAAGTTTCTGTTTCCGGATCGATGCATGGATTGTACGCAACATTTTCCAGCTGGATCGGAGGCAGGATGTCGGTTGCTAGTATTAGTTTTGACGGCGTCAAACCTGGAAGCGATTTTAATTGCTGTGGCGTCATTTTGCCAGGTGTGGGCGGGTTAAGCATCCATGCCAGGTGGGCAGCAAGCGGCTCCAACTCACCCAAATGGACCTGCCGGAGCCCGCGGCCCTCCTTGGTGGTTTGCGCGAACGGACTTTCGATCAAGACCAAATCTTCAAAGTCGCAGTATTCGGAGAACAGCAACTTTTGCACTCGATTAATGGACATTGCGATGGGGCTAATCTAGCAAGGAAGCCGTTACCATTACGGCCCGTTAAAATAGAACGCGGTTTAGGCGGAAATAAAAAAAAATTGAACCAGAAGCATCACCAAAAAGGCAAAATGCCAAAGTGACAATGGATTTGAAGGAAAAATGGGGCACAGGTAAAGCGATTTTTTTAATTACCTATTTAAAGACATTTAGGTTCATTTTTGCCTAATTCAGTCAGTGTCTCCTCACCTAGATTAAAAACCCCTCTTTAGAAATCAAGTAAATAAACAACTGTTATTCGCGAATCACCCTATATATTTTTGGTATTTTTTTACGATCAATTACAGTTATGGAGCAGCGGTTGTCTCACTTGCACGCAAGAAATCCAGATGATCCCAGGCCCGCTTCTCCTGCTCTCAGGTAACTGTAATTAGTTCACTTGAAAAAACTCAAAGGTGTCAACATTCTCATGCGACGTTTATCCTTAACCCAACATTTCGTGTCATCTGAGTAGGAAGAAATATTTAGTTTAGCAATAATTAAATTGATTACCAATTAGGTCCCGTTGTAATAACATAATATGGGATAAAATACTGAAGCTCACTAATCGAGGCGTTTTTCAAATAAACTGTTGTGCGTTGAGCGGGTTGGACCGAAGAAAACTAGACGGGAAAAATGAACGAACGAAAGGAAAACTCAGGTTTTACCAGCTATTTGGACCAGCCAGATCTAGAGGTAGTTTTAGCATTCACGTTTTTACCCGCCCCAACATAATGACCTATATTCCAGAGCATTACCTTGAACGATTCGCAACGAACCAAATTTTTGGATGGTGAGAAGCCCTAATCCCTATATCAATCGAACAGATAACAGTATTTTCGTTGCAGGTGAAACAATCGCATGCGAAGCTTCACAAGTGGTGATGTTCAACCCAGTGAATGAATCGTCCCAGGTATTCAAAGGTGTTTTAACAGTTACAACGTTCAAATTATCATTCGCCTCTGCGGAGGAAAGCGAATCGAAAGCCAACTGTTATCAGCAAAACCTCCTTCTAGGGGTGAGAACATTCTGTGCTCACTTTCATTCAATAAATCCCGCGTTTTCCGTTTTAGATCAACGATGTCTGCTTGTCCTCGATTGATTGCATCTACTTGGGGGACAAATCGAAGAAGAAGCTACTGGTACCTGGACAAAATGTTAGTGGCAAAGTTAAGGAATTGCTAATAGTCTGTAAGGTGGGTTACGCAATTTTCCATCCAATGTGAGAAGTGAACACTGAACAATGTTGCAGAATATGAGGTATTTCGCATTCAGTTTTAAGCTAAGCGAGAAGGATAGCGGGAAATCCATTGCCAATGCCCTGCTGCACCATGCTTACCCCAAAAGGCATCAACTCCTATTCGCATACGATTACAAGTAAGAACATTCATTCTTTTATTGATTCAAACTTGCTACTAAAATGTTTAGAGAGTCATACGTAAGCAATACCCTGCACAAGGAAGTGAGGATGTTTCAAATGAAACACGATTGGGAAAAGGAACTGCAACGAACAGGCTGCCCAGGCTGGAGACTGAGCATGGTAAACTTCAACTTCCAAGTGTCTTCGCTATTGCTGGAAACAATCATAGTCCCGCAGTCGGTTACGGACAACATCGTCAAAGACGCAGTGGAGAAGTTCAGACATCGATTTTGCCCAGTCTGGGTTAGTTAGTACCCTTCAATCTAAACAATGATTTTGGTAAATAAGTGGTAAACTAGGTGTGGGGGACCAAAGGTGGAGCAGCTCTAGTGCGAATGGCCGATCTATTGCCTACAATCACCGATCGAACGGAGGAAAACAAGCTGCTGGAGCACATAAGGAAAAGCCACCCCGATAAGCAACCGCCTCACATCGTCGACCTTACCAGCCCAAGCCCCAAGGATATTTATACCAGCTATCTCAAGTTGCGGGAACTTTGCACTCCAGACAATCCCAGATTGTTCAAACATCAGGTGGGTTTCTAAAGCCTCCCGAAACCCGCTCCTTAATCATTCGTAACTGCTTTCAGGACTTTAAATTTTATGGGTTGCTGGACGCGACCAAGTGGTTGACCCACGTGAGTACCTGTCTAACCAAAGCTAAGGATGCCGCAGAGAAAATATCGAACAGGAATTGTACAGTGGTTTTACAAGAAGGTAGAGCTGATGCGCAACTGGAAATTTTCCTCGGTTTAATGATTTGTTCCCTCAGGAAACGGGCAGGATTTGAATTGCCTTGTAGCTAGTTTAATCCAAATCATATTGGACCCGTACTTTCGGACGAAGTTCGGCTTTCAATCCTTAATTCAAAAAGACTGGGTTGCCATGGGGCATCCGTTTGCAAATAGATTAGGTCATATTCTAGATAAGGTAGGTTTTTGCCCAATTATTCGCAGCGCTTTGATTATTTTCATATTTCCAGGAAATAGAACAATCGCCAGTATTTTTATTGTTTCTGGATTGTGTGTGGCAGCTACTGCAGCAATTTCCTGCTGCGTTCCAATTCAGTGAAACGTACCTGACTACTGTATGGGATTCGGTGCATATCACCATATTTGACACGTTTCTCTTCAATTGTCCCCATCAGCGATTTATGGCCTCCACGGTGAGAAATCGGGGTGAACGAAACTGGAACATCTCGGGTCAACTTTGCGTTTATTTCCAGGGAAATTGCAATTCGCATGCTCCGTTAAGGATGAGGAGCGTTTGGGACTGGCGGGAACAGTTTAGCGATAAGGACATCGCGCTGTTTTGTAATCCTTTGTATGATGATAGTTTCCTTCAAGTTTTGAAACCCAGTACAGGACTGCCGAACTTAGAAGTGTGGGGGCAGTGCTATTTTAGATGGTTGTCGGATTTGGAAATTCCTAGAGGCGGCAGACCGCAAGTGGATTTGTACTCGAGGTAATCTAGTTTAGCGACGTTGTTAAGCACAGGTTGATTGGCTTTTTGAAGGTTTTTGGTTCAACAAATTCTACAAACACAATGCAACGGCATTGACTTGAATGCGAAAATCAACCACAAGGAGGAATACATGGATCTAATAAAAAAGGTCAACAGTTTCTACCCCTTCAGCCATAATATGGCCACCGTTAATAATACAATCAATAACCTACTTCTAACAGGCGATACCTTGGATTCGCAATCAATTCTCAACCTCAACACCGAATAAATCCCTGTTATCCCAGGTGTAACCAATGGATGATTCCAGTTATTCGTTTAGATGAACAGTCGGGACAAAAACTCATTCAGACATACTAATTGCATCACCTTTTACATTGGCGTTGGCGATTTTTGTGTATAATCCGACCGTAAGTTTCAAGCGACCATTTCATGCATCCACAAATCTGCTTAGTGCCATATTATGTTATGGATGTTTGTCTTCTAAATTCAACTAATTTTGTTTCGCGCTTCAATAAATTTAAGGAAAACGTTAATGGCTTCAACAAAGCATTTCAGTTAACGCCTAAATGCGTCGTTGGAGGGTTGAATTTTTTTACCCCAATAATTTCAGAAGAGCTGTTAAACAAAGTTAAGTCACACGTTCTGCTGTTGCATTTAAATTAAAAAATGCGCGTTTTTTTCGAAACCACCTTGTCTGATGATTAATATCGTTTTATCGCGTGACTAATCCTTCCATAAATTTTCGAGAGTGTATATAAAAGTTGTACATTTGTATTAGAAACCAGTGTCCGTCTAGTTAGTGAGTTTGCTGCTATCGGTTTTATAATTAACAAAATATAAAACTGAAGAATTCTTTAATAATTTTCAATTATTATTACTTAACAAAACCAAATATGTAATATTTATGTTGTATTTATATTGGCAATAAACGGTATTATTGCATGGTGCTATTTCCATGCGAGGCGAAGTTATTGAGTGAATTCCACACCTCTAGAACTTTTTCCTCTTGCTCGGCCCAGCCGCTACAAGCACCACCAAAAAACTTGAAAAAACTCACCAGTCTTTCGGGCTTCTTAGTGGTGTAAACAAAGGTAAAATATTTAGACTGTGCATTAGAAGTTTTCCAACTTGCAGCTGTTTTAGGAACTTCCATTTTTTACCGTTACACAATAGAATTTCGGAAGAAATTCAAAGAGCTCGAAAAGTACAACTTTTTTTAAAATTTTCTACAACTGCAAGTTGGGTTGGCATGGTCTATGTAAATCGCCTTGTATATTAAGTTCAGCCTCATAAATACTTATATAAGACCCAATAGACAGAAAATAAATTTCGACAATATAAAATTTTTAAATTCGCTTTAAATGAATTGATCATTCTAATGAAATATATTTTGAAAACTTCAGGTAAACCTGTATTAGAGCAGGAACATCACTTCTTCGGGGGTACGTACGACCGCTTTGTGAGCTGACCGAACTCGATCAATTCTCCACTACTCAGGTAAGGAACTTGGCTTTTTACATTGCCTGCTGACATTATTAGAGAGGGCGGCGTAGTCACAGAACTCAGTACCAAATGATCAGCTTTCTCCAGTCGTTCTAACGGCTCTGGAGTTAGCAGTACCAGGGTGTCTTGCTCCAAGTCCATTCCCCTAATAAAGCCTGCAAACTAGGAGTTAGTCGACTATTACCGTGCAAGAATTATCTAAGTACCATATCCATATGAGATGAATATTTCGGGATCCTGCAGACTAAGTGAGCACAGCGCCACCACATTTCCGTTTGCCGCCAATGGGGAAATAGACTGTCCGTCCTGGTTTACTATTTTTAGCTTGGACAAGTTGATGCTGAAACGGAAATAATTCGCAGTTTTTCCATTTTATTTTCGTTCTTTGCAACTTACCAAAACATATCGATATTGGGGCTTGTCAAGTCCTGCACACTACTAGACATCAATTTTCCAAAATAGGCCAGTACGGAAAACTCCCTAGACTGTCTGGTCTCCAATGACCAAGCGGTGTTTTTCTCTGAAAGGCTTTCCAGCAGGATATGCTGAAAGTCTACACTATTCCCGTTCACGTTTTCGTCCCTTAAAATGCTTGACTGGAGAATGGTGTTAATATTTGCGGCTGTGACGGGCATTTTATAATTCCTGTTGGCCTTCGTGCTCTTGAGTTCGATGACAACGTCGGGAGTAATCACTTGGAAAAGGTTTCCTGCAATCTCCATACCCAGGTCTTGAGTGTAACCTGGGAAGTTGATTAAAACGGGAAAATTCCCACTGGGAAAGTCCGCCGATTGCATCAGTACTCGTACGGTTTTCAAGTAATGCTGAATGTTCTGGCCCATGTTAATGTGCGATAAAATTGAGCTAAAAACCCTGAATTAGTCGCAAAATAATTGAACAAATGAACTCCTTACATGTCTGGAGTTTGTAGGTGGGTAAAGTTGGGACCCAAAATATAATCTTCTATGGTAGACACGGAAACGAAGCCTGGTGGGTTGAACTCGGATTGTCCAGGGTCCAAGTCCACAACGGTGATCTTTCCATGCTGCTTCAGCAAAGTGTTAATTGAATATCTTAAAAAGGTGCTTTTTCCCACTCCTTTGCCACCGCAAATCACCAGTTTACTGTTTAAGTGGACGCTTTCCAAAGCATTTTTCCATTCCATGGAAATGTCGGTTCTATTGAAGCTCCCTAACAAATCGAAGTCAATGTTTGGTTGACTGAGAGCATTATCTGGATATATTTTCTGAGCGATGTGGCTTTTAATAAAGTCTGTAGATGGCTCGTTGAGTTCTCGGCACAATATTATGGCGCAGTGCGGTTTAAAGCGTAGACTCATTTGGTGCTCAGACAATAAATGATGAGGAACCAAGTCTTTTAGACACAGAACTGCTTTGTTATCTACATACAGTTCGGAACTGTTCCGGAGATATAGCAGTGATGTTCCTCTGGGCGAGTATAGTTTTACTTCTGAGGAGGTTGTATCAAAATTCGCCCCCAGCACTTCTACTTGTCCGTTCAACACTTTTAGGCAAAATAGGCCGTTAAAGTAGACTCTTTCATTGAGCTCGTCCAAAACTATGACTCTGCTGCCGTTTTTCAGGATAAACATTGTTCTATTTGGCGGTGCCGGTATATGAGACTCTTCTTCCAGTACAATGTCTGTTTCCATATCACTGCCATGAGACGAATCCACAAGCTCGTCCAATTCATTACCATTTTCCCCGTTAACTGCAGTGTTTCCTGGACTATCCAGATGTGAATCCATAGGATCATCTTCATCTTCTTGGACAGACCTAAGAATCTTCGATGGAATCGGAAGAATGCTGATCGTGCTTCCCAATGAATAGTTGTGCTTCGGCGGAAACTGATTAAAAAATCTCTCTATTTTTAAACCCTGCACAGTGATAGTTGCGTCGTCATAAAAATCTGCTAGATCTTCTGAAGCAGGACTTATGGAATTGGAGGCTTTTACTACCCTTTGCGGGTTGGTATTTGGTTCAACCTTTGATACCTCCCAGTCTTGGCTCCTTTGTGATAATTTGCGTCTTTTTTGAGGCGGAATTGGACTAACATTCCAATCGGCATATGATCGGTGTTTCGATTTTGGGGGTTTTCTATCTGAAACATGACCTGGAAATTTCCAATGTTCAACTCTTAGTCGATCTAATATCTGATTTCATTGTTTCATTAATTAGGAGAGAGTACAAGATGCAAACATAGCAGTTTTTTAGAAGCACGTGTTATGTGTGTATTATGGTTTGGTTTAGGTGATTAAAATTTGACTCAAAGCACGTATATTCGATTTTTGCCCTTTAATGCTTACCCTGATGAACACAACTTGTGGGCGAACTTCTCGAAGTATTTGCAGGTATTTTGTCCAAACCATCGGAGCTGGAAGGCTCCGGAGCTTTCACAGGGTGCACGTTTTTCTTTGCATGTGTTTTTGGCGGAGCCCGATGGTTGTTTTTCACCTGTTTTGAAGCCTTCACTGTTGTCGGCTCCTTCGCAGCCCTTTGGATGCTTCGTGGTTTATATAGGTTTTCCCTTACTGTCTGTAGATAGTTTTCTTCTAGTTTCGCCATTGAGAAGTTATACAAATTTACGTATTTTTGCGGTATTCACTAAATGCGGCACAAATTTTACAAACACTATGACATTCTAACCTCAACAAAACATGTGAAGCTTAGTGTAGAAAGAGTGAGATCATAGATAAACATAGAGTGAGATGAAAGTGATCTGTATCAGATCGCGCCACAGATTATACAGTTGCAGTCAACAAATACAAATTAAAAAACTACTAATGGAAAACTGTAGTGCAAATTCAATATGGCGGTGGCGGGCTAGTCATACGGTGCTGAGTCTGTGATTTACTGCGAATACACATTGTTTTTTAAATCGCTGCCTTTTAAATAGATTTAAAATCAAAAAGTATTTAAATAGTGATTTTATAAGTAGGTACGCAAACGTATCCCCGAGTTCGAAACAAGGTGTAGGTAAACATAAAAAACCTTCATTTTTCTTCCATTTAATAGAACACAAAATGATAATTTCAAGAAAACTGTTACCTAGAATTCCTCACTTGTCGATTGAAAATATTCCGAAATATCAGATTCATTAACACTTTCGTCTTCAGACTTAAGGCCGTCAACGCTTCCACGATGAGATCCATATCCATTGCTAACAACCTCTGGATTAGAATTGCTGTAAATTACATTCAGGTGCCGATGGTCGCTGAAAAGAACCAAAGTTAAGCAATTCAATGTGATCATTTACAATTCAAACCTATTTGTTTGGCTTGTAAAGACCTCAGACTCGGTAGTGGATCCCGAAGACCCTGGCTGGCTCTGTTTGGTGTAGGCTTTATGTTCATGACTTTGGTTTGAATGCTTTGATGCACCATCAAAGGACACTTGCTAAAAAAGTCATCCTAAATTCGAGTAAATTTAACGTAAAAACTTACAGAAGAGTTTTGCCCATCAACGCCACTTGAAGCTGTTGAGTTTGTCAGCGTTCGCCTGCTCACTTCCTCCACTGCAGACCTCAAAATCTCGTTGATCAAGCTTGTTCCTTCAGCTTGAATATCGTCAGCAGCTGAATGGCTGCACGAACTTTCTGGAACCTGCGTCATTAGGCTCGTGTTAAGAAATAACGCCCCATTTTGGTGTAATTGGCTTACGTTCTCATTCGCCGTTCCTGAAGCATCTTCAACCACCGATGTGGCCAGTGATAATTCTTCGGGAAGGCTGCTCATATCCAGCATCTCTGACGGTCCTGGATCAACTTCAGCATAGTCTACCGTGTTGTTGGACGACGATTCTTCCGTTGTAGTGTCATTGTCTGCATCCTCTGCTTCATCAACATCTACAGCCAGGATCGATGGATGAACGCCTGAAAAGTAGCTTTGAATATGTGTCGTTTTTGACTGTTAAGGCCGCTTTACCTAAGCCATCCCCCTGGCAGTAGAAGTGCGGTTCATCTAGACTACCAGGAGGGTCCTGGTTTTCTTCCGCCACTATTTGCGATCCTAAAATTTGCAGCAGCCAATGGGGAAATATATTCGTGTTTGTTTGGATTGAAGCTAAAATTCAGCTGGATTGGATTGGGAAACGATGGGAATCAACTGGAATTAGCGCTCACCTGCTGTTTCAGCTTGTTGCAAGCGACTGTCATCGGATCTTATAGGGCGAATGCCCACTAAGACCACACTGGTGCCCAGATCCAAAACGCTAAGCAGATCCTGATTGGGTTGGGATGGGATATCGAATTCTTCCAGTAGGTCTTGTTCAGAGTTGGCATCGAAGAGAACCTCCCTGCTTGCTTGCCTCAGTGATATTTCCGCCTGCAGCGAAAATTCTGTGGGTTTATCCAGCTAATGCTTGGCAGCAAATTGCCCCAATTGCCTACGTTTATTAAGTTCACACCTCCAATTCCTGCCAACTGGCCTCGTTTTCCCGTTCCACTCCTTCCGCGTGTTCAGCTATTTCTTCCACCACTTCCTCAGCTGCAGCTCCGTTGTTGTTTTCCAGCGGAACATTGTCCTCTAATCCAGGCGCCAGCTCCTCGAGGTTGTCGTTTAGATCTATGCCTTCATCCACATCTGCCTCAATTACGTCATTTTCCTCCAAGTTATTCCCTGGAACAATTTGCTGAAGCTGAAAATCACACTTATGATCGGTTAGTGTTCGCACTACCTTCATTGTCGCGGTTGTTATTGGCTAAGTCCCCATTTTCTACTGCACCAACGGCCGCAGGCTCCGCTTCAGGATTCAATGGGGGTTGAGGCTCTATTTCCAAAGGTCCAGCATCAATCACATCGGCAGCTTCTCGTAACGGACTCTAATAGACTCTAACTCTAAATTCCGTTGGCTTTGCAACTGCACCTACTCACCAAATTATGAATTAATTCAGCTTTTCCTCCAACATCTTCATCGTCTGCATCAACCTGGTTGAGCGTATTTTCGATGATACAATTCGTCAGACTTTTGGCATCATCTAACACGGTGGGCTCTTTGAGCTTGGTTTCGACCTTTTTCTCTTTGTCCTAAAAATGGGCATCAAATAATTCCTCGGATGGAAACTGGACAAATAAATGCACACTTTGAATTTCCTGGGCCTCTTCCAACCGCTGGACGTCCCGGCCACAGACAAGTCCCTCAAAGGGCCCTTCTTGAACTCGTTCTGGGGCCTTAAGTAGCTGCCCATGAACGCCCTAGCGGGGCTCATGTTGTGGAATCGGTCCAGTTCATTAATCTTATTTGCGTCAACCAGTTTGGATCTGCAAATGCAACCCTTGCAAACCCATGATGCGCGTTTAGATTTCGGGTTACTTGTCCAAAGCGTCCGCGAATTTGTCTTTAGCTACTGCCTTCTTTAGGTGCAATTTGTTGTCATTGCTGTGCATGTTTGGGGTACTAACGATGTCCTCAAAGAAATCAATCTCCACTGGGTCGAAATGGGGCAGATGCTGGTGGGGGTCCAGTGGGGATGGCGATTTTTGGTACCCTGAATCCACCAGCGGGTCTGGATTGACTGCTTTGTCGTCTCTTGGTGAATTTATGGCCGAACATGCACCTAACGGAAGGAAAAAACTAGGGTTGTAAATTGTGCAGGGCTGCAGATTATTGCCACCTTGGTCTGCTTCGGGCGGCGGCCACGAATAGTCATCCCAGTCGGACAATTCGGCAACGTTTGGCTCAGACTTTGTCGTATCGTTGCTGCTGGGGAAAGTTCAACATGCAAAAACGATGCTATGCTTCTCATATTTAACTACCTTTTAGTACTGTACCCGTCTGTTTCTTCAGAAGTGCCGGATATTTCTTCCATTTCCTGCGGAACTGAGATGATGCACTTTTCAGTCGCACCTGATTGTGTGCTGATGCATTCTTCCAATGTGTATCCGGCCCCGATCAGCAGCTTGCTAGAAGATGAGGGAATTGTTCAAATTCAGCACTGGGAATTTAGATTTGAGCGTGACAATGACTTCGGTTTATACACGGGCCAGTAAAACTGTCTTACCCCACTTCTTGTTCTGTAACTTCAATGTCGCCATACATAATGTCCCAAATCGGTATTTCACACCGTCCTTTGCCCTCCACGTAAAACCTACTGTTGAAATTGCTAAAAGTCTGGATTCTGTAGCTGAAGATGTTCATGAGCTTTTCTGCTTCCGATCGCAAATCCACCTCATAGGGATAGTCGATTGCTTCGATCAGTTTATAGAAAATATTGTGGGAAGGATTGAGTTCATTTGAGCCGCGCTCCATTCGATCATCATACAAAGTAAGTCGATTCAGATCAGTCTCACTGAAGGCCTTGTCGGTTTTCATTGGCCGATATGCTTCAGACTCATCGATGTTGCAACTGAAATACGTGCAGACACCGACGCTGAAGTCTGGAAGACACAGACCGCAAAGACAGTTGCAGAGCAACTTGCTCTCGATGGCCTGCCCTTGACAAGGGCTGGTTTTATCACAGTGGCAATGTTTGGCATACGTGGGTGATATGTAGGATTCATCAAGCACATCTTTTCGGGTAAAAGTGGCGACTTGCGAACAACAGCCTATCTGGTCGAGATGTTCGGGCCCGATGCCCAGACCGGAGAATTCCACAGTGTAATCTACAAACCGTTCAGTGATATTGTGGGCCCTGAAAATGGAAACACTCTATTAGCTTTTATGTTTAAATAGAAGTTTAATGGAGGTAAATCGAATTTCTAGGCCAGTTTCTAAATGCGGAAGTTTAGAGAAATTTTAACAGTCTCTCTGTCTTCTGATTTTTACTTTTTTTTCAAAGCAACTGTGACAAATTTCAACAAGTTTCCCATTCTTGGATTTAGCTCTATTTTCGAGTTTTCAAAGTAAGTTCACCTCATTCAATGCATTATGCACTTAACTTAAAACTGATTCAAAAGCTAAACCATGTAGAACTTGAAGCAAAGCTTACCAATCTTCAAATTGTTGCCGGGTCCATTCAAATTTATGATCTGGATGTCGCATTGCGCCCCTCATTCTGCCAAAGACAACGTTAAAGTCTGCGTTCGGGGTTGTAAAGATTGCCAGTTTCGGGCGAACAAATTGGAAAACGTTGTAGGGAAGAGCATCTAGAGTGTCCGGATACAAATGCTCAATTCTAAAAGTTTTTCTAGTTTAGCACAGATTTACTTTAGTGGGCTATTTGAATTTACATTTCTATGGCGGTAACTACATCAGTCTTACGTAGCCGGTAATCCGGATCAGCAGCACTGCCCCTGAGTGCGGTTACTACCAGGGGGCTGGAGCGGCGCTTTAACCGGTCCACTATAAAAGGCTCTAGGCGGTCGATGTTTCTGACCATCAGGGCCTCATCAATATCCACAAAGACCATCTCTTCAACGTTCAGTCTTTTAATGTAGCTGAACAAGCTGAACTCCCCGCAGCCGAAATCCACCAGCTTCTTTACGTTATTCCGCAAGTTCTCTTGCACCAAAATCTCATAAATCTTCCAGTATCTTTGGCGGTAGACTGGCGGATCGAAGGTCCAACTGTGCTCGACATCTTCGTCTGTTTTAGTGGATTTGAGCCTTTTTCGGTTCCGCAGGATTTGGAAGAATATCATCCCGATATAGTGGAATATTATGATCATTCTAAACAGTTAAACAAGTTAAACAAAAACACTGTTTTTCAATTGTCAAACATTTGGAGGTTAATTAATTAATTAACTGTCTAAAATTCCGCGATATTCTTTCAATAGATGACGCTGGGATTCTGATATGGAATATGGCAACGGGGCCTCGAACTTTTATTGTCACCACATTGTCAGTTTGTTGTCAACCTTAATGGCTTTTGAGTGTGTTGAGTGCAAGTGCAGTGTTCATTATGTGCTGCTGAATTAGTAGTTCATTTAAGGGTTCTAGATAGGAAATCGTTCAGTTCAGAACATCCTGTAGCTGGAGATTTTATTCAGGTAATTACCTGATCAATTGCGGCCTTACTAAGCAAATGGGAACCGTTTTAAACTGGAACAAATTCGGACTTAATTGACCAAAGAACAGCGCTTTTGTGGCCGAAAAACTTCCATTCGCCTGAATTTACGCTTCAGTTGATTCCCTGTAACTGGTTCCCACAAATCCTCATTGAATTCTGCTGATTTTTTGGCCCCAATATCAGCATATTAACCTAATTACTATACTGCTAAATTACAATCTGGATATTAATACAGCCATCCCTTTGGGTCCAATAACTTGCAATTGAAATTGTGAATTAACTGCTGTTTGTGCTGCAAGCCATAACCAATCACATTCATCCAGACGGGCATTCAAATAGTTTTTGGAGTTTTTCAGTTGTCTTATCTTGAATTGATAAGGATTGTTGAAATTCCCCCACATGCGGAAGGAAAGCACGATTAAGGAAATGGTCAAGTTCGGTAACAGTTGTTATCACCAGATATATTTAAACAAACGCTCAATGCGTAAAGTTCCAATCGATTGCTTTCACAAATACATCTAGGGCTTCTAGACCATTTCTAAATAAAATTGATTCCTTTCTGTTTGAACCCTTTAGAGCTGCTGATGAGTTTGCCATTTAACCGGCAGAAATGCGCGGTTAAATCGGGAAGAAGCTCGTTGAGGCCTAATTTAAGCTTTGCCTATTATGATCCATTAGTTGTTGTTGTTTCCCAGCCACTTCCCTTTTCCTGTGCGCTCTCTAGCCGATCTAAACTGGCTTAAAAAAATCGTTTGCCAAAATTTGCGCTTGACTATGCTGATGTGGAAGTAATAATTATAAATAGCTATTAAGCTCGACGTAAGTAATTACTCATTTTTTAGCTCACAGTTTTATTAATGATCAAAGGTGAAAAAGAGGGACTGACTCGGGCTAAAGCCTTTTATTCCTGGGTGAAAATGCTTTATAGGCGGTTGAGATAACAAGAAACATTTGAAAACGATGTTTTTTATTCAAAAAAGAGCGCAGTTTAATGCTGTATTCAGTGGTCACAACTTTATTTGTCGCAGTTTGGATGGTTTCAAACCAAGGGCGGATCCAGGGGGGAGGCAGATTGTGTGGCTCGAATGGTTCTTGAGAAACTTCGAAAAAAACAGCGTCATGTTCAAGTGGATTTTGCAACTCAAAAAAAACCGCGCAAATCTAAAACTTCTCGAATTCAAGCATTTTTTGAGAAATCTGCCAACATTTGCCCATCCATGGTTCACTTTCTAAAAAGGCCATTTATTTCTGTCTAGAATGATGTACACATGAGCGTTCTTGCTCATTTTGCCTCCGAGATATGAG